AGATTACAATATCCACGTGACTTCCTCCCAGCCAATGTCATTTGTGTCTGCATGAGTCCACTTCACGCACTTGTTTTTCTTCTTATTATTTCTATTTTATCTAGTCCTTTCCTTATGTTATTCAATATCCGCACCCTTCGTGGACGGCCAACATGTCATTTTGCGATAGGCGATACATCGGGACAGCCTGGCAAATTCTTAGTTAACTATTATCTAAAGCATGTAATATCCGCTTTCCTCAAATGCCTCCCTCATGAAAGTATCGATCCGGCCTCCTCTGTTAGTCTACTATATGGTTAACAATAAACTGGTACAGAGGTATTTACTCTCGCACGTCTTTTCGCTAACCCGCTGAGTTGTTGATTTTGTCTATCCGAGAATTCTTTCGGTATTCATAAATGGAAGCGTTAACGGTATTTCCGTCTCCTCGCCGGAATTTGAAAATCGTCGTAGAGTTTGAAGCTCCAAGTCAAGGGTTTATCTGAATGTGTCATGAACGCTAGAGCATCAATGGTAACTTTGGTATTTGTTGCTGTTACACCAGGACCCATTGCACATATTTCTGAAAATCTGAAAACAAGTTCCTGTTTTCAGCCGTTTTAAGGATCAGAGCCAAGATCATAGAATATTCCACCCTTTTAAATCTTGCTAAAATGCCTATTTAGTGACCGATCTATAAAAACGGTTTGTGACCAGGAATTAAAATTGAACCCTCATTTAGATGTTCCCATCTTTTGTTAACACTACAGAAAAATGAACTGACATTTTGCTTTTTTTAGTTCTACTGTCATTTTTTACCGCAGCCTTTGACCTCGTCTCCGAGCCACTTTAACTAGTTTGTACTATTATAGAACGGTCACATAAACTTTTAAACATATTTTAAAGAGCGTTTGGGCATCACTGAACGTCAGTGCAAGTTAAATTTAAGAGTTTCACATCAAGGCAGGTGGAATCTAAGCGTGGTAATCAGTAGGAGTGGGGTTAAAGTCATAATCTTGGGTTGAGGTTGATTTCCTTGGCTTTACTACTGCTAAGTTAAAAACAGCGGTTAAAATAGCGGTTTTCGAAAATCGCACGTTAATGCTTGGATGGTGGCCCTTCCTCACGAAAAGTTCAGTTATCGACATTTCTGAACAGTTAATCTCAATTTTAGGTTGCAAAACTTCCCATAACAGAAATTGGAAGAGCAGTTGGTGAGCATACGTATACTTTCAATAAATTCTCATCAGGCCGTTACATTTA